CTGTTGAACACAAAAGAAGATATTTTAAAGAATGGTATCCATTGACTTCCATAGAAAAAAAAAATATTGAAATCAATGGCTACCGTCAACTGTCTGGTTACAACAAATATCTTATTTTATGTTAAAACGAAGATAGAAACTCATACCGGAACAGTAAATGATGATACAATTTTCATTTTTGGGTGAACTATCCCTTTAAATGTGGGTGTAACAATATATCGTGCCACAATATGTCGCAATACAAAAATGTTACAATGCGTATAGTAGATAGTGACAATGGATAGTCCCCCCAAAATAAAATTTACTGTTTGAGAAAAAATTAAAGTTTTCAGAGTTTTAGTGTACTACATTAAACCACTAAACGTTGATTATAATATAATAATGCAATGGGGGAATATTTGTAGGTCCTGATAATGCCAAATATGTCTGATGTTACCAGTAAAAAGTGGCTGACATTATTTTAAATATATCTAGTCAGTGAAAATAATTCTTTATTTTCAGCTTCAGAATCATGAATATTTTTATTATGGTGTCACCATTGTCCTTGGGTTACAAGCACCAAGTCCAAGCCTTTATTTATTTAAACAATGTAATATCAAATTTAGCATTTTAATCAACAGTACATTTTTGGTTAACCTTTTACCACGTTTTGGAGTATCGCAATAATAGTTCAGTATCGTGATATGTATCGAATCGTGACATGAGGGTATCGTTACACCCCTACTGATGACCCCATTGACCTGGCAGTTTAAAAACAAGACAAAAAACTTAAACTGAGAAAAAAGAACATCTTTTTTTATCGCTGAGAATATCCTGAGAGAAAGTGGACATAGTAACTGTTCTCCAAAGCATCTTTAAGTCACATTTCTAATCTATTATGGTCAGTGTTAACAGCATGTACGGCAAAAAGTGGGTCTCATGGGGAGACGGCCCTCAAATCTCACTCTGTTTCCTCTCTTGTGAAACTTGAAGCTTCAGCGTCGACGGACGGGTGAGTGGCCGAGCCACACCTCATTCCCAGAGGAGCTTTAAAAGCCTCGCTCCTAATCCCTTAACTAAATATTGTCAGATTATTTTGTCTGTAAATGCCGTGAGGGTTTGCTTCTGCAGAAAATCTCCGGAGATTAAGAGATCAGAAACACTCAGGTAGGTGGGAATGTGAAGGTGAAGATCATGACCGGGACGCCAGCGACAGCAAAGACACCTAGAAGAAAATGTTATTGCTCAGAACGCTCTTTCAGGAAGTAGAGTCATTTTCTCCATTTCATCTTATTGCAAACAATTAAAGAGATCTCATTGCTTTCCAGAGGGCAGTTATGGATGAATCTCAGTTGTTCAGTCATACGCCACTGCAAACAGCATTGTTGTTCCTATGGACGTACTTATTATCACTTCATTATTCTTCATACAGACTGAATCAAATGTTATTGTGTCTCACGTGAAGCCAGTAGTCCTCATCTCATCCGTCACTTGTGTGTGCGCAGAGTGAGTGAGGATGTGTTGTTTCCTCTCAGCTCATCAGCTCTGAATAGGTTGTGTGTACACACTAGTGTGAGAGAGATGCATCAAATGGGGGCTCATTCAGGACCTGCAGTGGAGGAGGATGTTTTCAGCCCTTCTGGGTGGTTCTGTGGACGCCCCTGATGCAGATAGTATTGTCAATGTGAAAAGGTGATGTGTTACAAAAGAAAAGAAGGAAGAGCGAGAGAGATGCATGCTGGGATACATGTGCAGGTAGACTGTCTGCAACAATGGTGCTCTTTGGCTCTAGAGAGACTTATCTATGTATACAACTAAACGAACTCACACACGCAAATGCTCAAACATGTACACTGTAAAAAATGATCGTGATTTTAACGGTAAAAGACTGTAAAAATGCTACAGTGTAAAACTGTTAATTGGTTAACAGAACCTTTCTTTACTATATACGGTAAATAACTGCGATAGATCTAATGGTAAATTTAATGTAATTTTACTGTAAAATACCGTTAAATTTACAGTTTTTAAAGTGAAAACGAACAATTCATTGTATAATTTACAGTGAAAACCCGTTAATTGACATTCTAACCATTCCCTGCATGATGCTTCGCATTTGATGTATATTTTTGTTGAAATAGCTTGTTTCTTCATAGTTTGCTTAGTCTTTTTCTAATCTGTTATGTACAATAGGGTTTTATATGACATTTAATGTTGTTAAATTAATGTTTATTGCCTTTTTAAAATTTCATGTGCGTTTGAGTAAATCACACTGTGCAACTTCTATATATTAATATTAAGACTCTTGTGGAAGAGTTGCATTGTGAGCTTCCATCATGTGTCTCATCACTGCTGTGATTGTTGGTTGTCAGTGTAATACAATGGTTTAAAACAGACATACTTCAAATGGTTGATCATTTAACAGTAGCCTATCAGATAAGAATAAAATATGGTTTATTCCTGTAAATTTAAGTTAAGTCTGTAAAACCTTGTTAATGTTCTGGCAACCAGCTGTCGGTATTTTACCATAAATTTAACACATTTTTTACAGTGTAGATGTAAACGCTTTATTTGGAATTACATTTTAATAAGATATCTTAAATGGACATTGAAAATCAAAATTCCTGTCGTTTCAAACCCGTAAGACTTTCGTTCATTTTCGGAACACAAAGGAAGATCTTTTTGATGAAATCTGAGAGCTTTCTGTCCCTCCATTGGCAACTAAAAGATCATAAAGAGATTATAAAACTAATCCACATGAATTGAGTAGTTCAGTTCAAATTTTCTGAAGAGATAATCACTTAATCATGTACAGATTTAATTTAGTCTTTTATTCACATTTAAACATTGATTATTGAACATTAAGAGAAACTCAATAGAACCTGCTTAGCATGCGAGGACAAACCTCATTGGTTCTTGCAGAAGCTCAAACGTGCTGCGTAAAAGGAGAATGAACCTCATTGGTTCTTGCAGAAGGTCATATATGTGCTGCGTAACACGAAAATGAACCTCATCGGTTCTTGCAGAAGCTCAAATGTGCTACGTGACACAAGAATCAACCTCATTGGTTCTTGCAGAAGTTCAAAAATGCTGTGTAATGAACCTAATTTGTTCTTCAACGTCAAGCAAACATGCTTGAGCTTCCGTTTGAGTGAATTGATGAATGTTTATATATAAAAGTTCAATCTGTTTATCATATAAAGCGATTGAGTCTCTTCAGAAAATTTTGATTAAACTGATCAATTCATATGGATTAGTTTCAGGATCTCTTTATGAACTTTTCGAAGCGTGAATAATTGTGCAGCTAACCAAAAGATCTTCATTTGAGTTCTGAAGATTAACGAAAGTCTTAGAGGTTTGGAACAACATGATGGTGAGTAATTAATGACAGAATTGTTATTTTTGGGTGAACTAATAATATCAGTGAATTTTTGGAACTGTGTTAAAAGTATCATGATGTTAAACAGCATTTAAGACTTTAAGAAGTTTTTTAAAGAGGCTGACAATTAGACACTTGTGTCCATTGTTAATATCACTGACACACAACTGTCCTTGACTGATCAAAAGGTCTCAAAGGGAATAAAAAAATACTTGACCCTGGTAAAAATGGTACAGTCACACTCATTAGTTTACAATAAACAGATTAAGAAATGCAATTAAAAGTGATCTTAGGAGTTATACGTCTCACCTTTCAAATCACCCCCTCATTTGTTCCATGTCGGTGATAAGAAGCTTTAATCATCGACTCGGTCTCAGGAGAAACAGTCTAACGTTCATGGTCTGCCTGCAATGTCTTTGCTAATGGGTTCAGGCAAGCAGTCTTACCGGATATTACAAGGATATCAATGACAGGAGCCTGTCGACTATCAGTTAATAACGTTAAACACGAATATTAAAAATTGTATTTACTTGATTAGTAGAAAAAAAGATTAAAAACACTGGTTTGACAAAGTTAGAATTCAGTGTAGGCCTATACTTTTTAATATTAATAACACTTTTTATAACGTTTAAAAAAAAGAAAAAAAGAACAATCCTATGTATAGGCTAGATATATTAATTTATTAGCAGAATATGTCCAAACAATTCTAAATTATTTGAAATACTATCAAAGCACTTACAGACTGCTTTAGAAAGTAAGAGTGTGGGGAGACATTAAAAAGAGAGAGTGATTAACTACAGGTGACAATGTCTTTTACATATTCTTCTGTTGATCTTGCCCTTGACTGAATTTTAATAGTTGGTCAAAGTTCAGGAAAATGGCGACATGTTCTTGTAAAACAGTCTGGTTCATGTGGTCTGTTTGACACTATAGGCTAACCAGATCTCACGAGAATTCGTACGAATTTTACGAGATGGCTATTCGTAACATTTCGTACTACCTCACTCGTACGAATTAGTACGTTTTTGCTAAAGCGTACATATTTGACGAATTTGCCTATGAATTCGTACGAATGACCTACCCCTGACCCCGCCCCTAAACCTACCCATCACGTGGCTTTGGACAAATCGTACGAATTCGTACGAGTGAGGTCGTTTGAAGGACGTATTAGTACGAATTGGTCGTGAGATAGCGTAGACTATTGTCATAAGCAGTGGTGGACAGTAAAACTAGCGAAGCTGTTAGTTTAACCAATACTCTCAGTAGCTAGATGGCGTCGTTGTTATTTTTTAAATTATAAAGCTTTCAGTGACATTTTTATTAAACGTGTGGATTTCAGCTAAAAAGTGGCGTGTGCGTTATTCACAACAAACCGGCTGTTTACAATCATGTCCGATTCAGGAATTAATAATTCATTTCGACATTCTGAATCGTGGAAATTTGATTCTGAATCTGTTCCAGCGTCAATGACTCACTCAACTGAATCGGTTCCTCCAAACAGAGACTCCTCGCGAGTTCAGCAGCCATGTTGTGGCTCCATTGTCATATCTTGCCAGGTTCAAGAGATTAATAAGCGATATGAGAAAATAATCGGAAATAAACAAGTAGGCGTAGGCTACTACGTTAATGTTTGTTTTTTTTCAGACCGAAGATGACGATGCTTTTACATAGAAGACAACCAACACAGCCTGCTATTCAGGTGAGCAAACTGCTGTTTGGGTTTTGGATTTGAACATTCGTTTGGCCAATAATAAGTATCCAGCAACCGCCAGGAAAGTCCTTAAAAACAAATAGAAATTGTCAGAACCCAATTCTGTGTGCATTTTTACATTTTAAAATGAATTTTTTGAAAGAGTTAAAGTTATTCTGAAACAATGTTGATGTCTGACGTGTGTTGCTATGTATTTAAACGTTATCTTTTAAGTTAGACAGCTAGAAGTACAGTTGGAAATGCAAGGACTGAAATAATTTAAGCCTTTATTGTATGGTATGTTTCAATAGATGTGGTAATTGATGACTTTAATACATGAAAATATAAACATTTAAAAATGTCATGAGATCACAGAAAGACAGTGTTTGACTTTGCTGTTTTATTGTTAGTCTAACCAATAAACCAGCCAATAAGAACGTATGTTTAAGTCATTTCAAGTGTTTTCAATGAGGCATTTTGTTATTTTTTCCCTTTTAATGGACGCGCAGCACACATTTGAGCGTTATGCAGAGAGGAAACTGCAGCAGACCACCCACTCCTGCACGTCTGAAACGGGGTCCAGAGAGGGTAATTAAGCTGTTTTCTCGGGTCATACAAGTCTTGCTCGTTAAAAATGAGAGGAGTGACGGTTGGTTGTAAGGTGGAATACGCCAAAGACTGCCGCCAGTGCCAATATATTTTGCTGTTAATGAAGGACGCCATTAATATAATAGTCATCACTCTCATTGTGTGTGAGCGATCATCTGTCTCTGTGAATCTGATGACACGCCAAGAAGGTCAAGGTCGTATTCAACCTTAAAACCAAAAGAAAAAGACAACATTAATTAGGCACTGTAAAAAATATTTTCAAGATTTGTTATCACAACATATTTTCTTTTGTCAAATCAACTCAATTTTGAGCTTCTGATGGTTAAATTAATCTACTTCATTGTATTAACTCACTTTTTCCAGTTCAATCAACTTAAAATTTTAAGGCAACCCAGGTTACTTACTTTTTTAAGTTAAACCAACAATATTTTTTACAGTGAAGTAATCAAAACATTTTTTCTTTTGTCAAATCAACTTAAATAATTTATTTAGTTAAGATAACATATAATTTTGAGTTTCTGATGGTTAAATTAATCTCCTTCATTGTATTAACTCACTTTTTCCAGTTCAATGAACTTAAAATTTTAAAGCAACCAGGTTACTTACTTTTTTAAGTTAAACCATTAATATATTTTTTTACAGTGTTGAAGTGATAGTGCATCCAACATTTAAAACAATTTATTTACTCACCCTCATGCCAATTTCTCTCAAAAAAATCCTGTCGTCAATGGCGCGCAATGAATTCTGGGCTAGGCAAGGTGGAGAAGGATCCATCTATTCCCTCTGAAACAAAGGGCACATTTTAAGGCCGCGTTTGAAGAAGCCTTCGAAGGATGCAGCCTCTAGTCTGAATTGGGACGCTGCGAAAGGTGTGCAAGATGCAGGCAGTCAAGAGGGGTGATGGTGTGTGTGTGTGTGTGTGTGTGTCACAACCCGCACTGCTCGCCGCTGTTTGTAAGCAAAGCCAAGCAGAGAGATTATCTGCAGCAAGAGCTGTGGGCTGTTGTAAATGATCTGTCGTGTGGGTGATAAACCCTGTCAAAAGCACCTCTAGCGCGGCACCTGGGCTTAAAGAAAGTCATGCTCAGATTTGTCTCTTGTGCAAGATTAAAATCAGGATGCGGTTGACTTCAGGGTAGGACTGAAGGGTTTATTTAAATCTAATGAATATTTTTCATTTCACACAAAGATATTACTGCAGACATCTCTGTGTATCTCTGGGTTTTGCATCTGCTAAAGCATGAGAACAAGCCGTTTTCATTGTTGCAAACCATCCGTATAGGAAACACTGAGCCGTGTGCGAGTGTGTGTGTGTGTGTGTGTGCATTTTTTAAGTATTCCTCACAGTGTTAATCACCAATGCTAATTACAACAAACCCCTGAACAGCCTGACTGGAATCTGTAAAGATTCTGAGGATGATTGCGGCATAATATGTACACAGCAAACCACGGCATCGCATTTGGATCATCCAAAAGAAACAGCAGCAAACCCACAATAAACATTGTGACTGAAAATAGAAATAGCTTAAAATAGAAAAATCTTTTTCTTAACTCGTTGTGCACGTCTAACAAGGTCCATCAGCCAATCGATTCTGTCGTTACAGATGAAAGCAAATTACAGATCTAAAATTTGTCGTAATTGCTGTGATTAAATGGTTGGAAACGGGTGATAGCATCTCTCAGCCCTCCACCCACTAAAGAATGAGACTCAGCCATTAAATTATCCAGCTATCAGGAGTGCTGGAGTCCTACTTTGAAGTTGTTGGTTTAGAGAAACAGCGGGACTCGATTATGGGCAAAATTAGGGTGGCAGGCCGACCGGGAAGGCGCCGCGGCGTAAAGGGTCAACACCGAAAGAGGGCGGGTGCCAGTCGTATTTGGGTAACATGTTACTGCCATTTCTGAGAATAATTTGTTGTTTCTGGAAACAGATAACTTAATCTAATGGGTTTGTAAATTAATAAAATCCTATGAAATAAACTCTTCAAAGAGTTGCTGTTAGCATTCTTATTTAGTTGTTTACTGCAGGCGCAGACACAGCCCAAATCTTAACAAAAGTCATTCAAATACATTTGAAAAGTTTAACACAATTGAAGAAACTAAATGAAATTGCTGGTGCTGATGGTTTTTTAATTATTATTATTGATTACTAACAATTATTGTAGTCATAACATTACAAATAGAGTCATATACACTTCTGTTCAAAATATGTGACCAATAGCACCCTTTAGCGTCAATATGAGACGCAGATATATATGGGCCAGAAGGCGCCTCCTAGTGGTCTAACCTAACCCTACCCCAGACTGAAACCTACCTATAACCGAAGCGTGTTATATTGACGCTAAGGGTGCAATGTGCGTTGGATGTATAAAAGCGTCACTACATGACGCCCTAGGATGAGAATGCGTTGGTATATCCTAACAAACCACACATCAATGAAATTTTTTTTTTATTCAGCTTTCAGAGGATGTATAAATCTCAATTTAAAAAAAAATGGACACATAAGACTGCTTTTGTGGTCCAGGGTCACATATGCACACATTTTTTTTTAAATGTTTTTGAAAGAAGACTCTTCTGCTCACCAACGATGCATTTATTTGATCCAAAACACAGTACAATTGTGAAATATTATTACAATTTAAAATAACCATTTTATATTAGCTTATATTTAAAAATATAATTTATTCCTCTGATGGCAAAGCTGAATTATCAGCATTATTGTCACATGATCCTTCATAAATTATCTTCAAAAAAGGAAAATAAACATCTTTAGTTACATTATAAATTTATACTGTCAAATGATTGCATCCTTGCTGAATAAAAGTATTTATTTAAAAAGAAAAAAAAATGGGATCCCAATCTTTTGAACAGTATAGTCTTTATTGCACCAAAATGTAAATATACAACAGTTAAATATAGCCGTTAACATTGCGGCTTCCATTTCTGTTCTCGTAATAGCCCACCTTGGTAAATGTGGGTTATCAAAAGACGTCAGGAAATCCCCAATTTCATCCACGGAAGGCTCATCACCGAGTATGGATACTGAGTTTGGCTGGGCTGCCGTGAATTCCCTGTAGCCACAGACAGTTAAAGAGGCACTGATGCACACCGATCAGAACACATCATTTGGGCTGGAGCTCACACGGACAGAAGGGAAAATGACAGAGTGAGTCAAGCCAAGGGGGAGAATGGGTTTCCTGTCCACAGAATATTCCTGATCTGTGATGATAGCGCAGGAATGACCGTCAGGGCCCCAGAAGGGCAAGTCTCACAGAACAACATCTACAGTAGACTCGCTCAGAATCCGGTTAATCTAAAGCCACACTACTAAATATTCATCACATGTTAAAATGTTCTAAAACAAAGGGGGGTTTCACATGTAATGCACCCAAGAGGTAACTTTCAGTGAACAGTTCTTTGAAGAACATTTGAATATTCTAAAGAACCTTTGTGGAATGTAAAGGTTCCATGGAGAACCATCAAAGCCAATAAATAACTCCGGATCGTGATGCTTTAAATCTCAGGTCTGAATCCTGAAATCCAACCACAAAAAGAGAGACCACACCTGCTGCAAAGTGTCCATTAAACACCCATTTGTGTGTTAATGATGTGAATCTGTTTGGACGCACTTGTTGTATATGTCACTACAGTGACTGTTACGCCCATATTTCTTTTTCAACACCTAAAACCTGTAATACCCAGATGCAGGACTCTGAATAGACTCCGACATGCTGTTGTGTGTATACATGTTTAGGCTACTAACAGGCCACCTAAATATTTGTGTTACTAACATTTCATTGTGGTAACACCTTTGCGAGACAGGACGGCATCATATACAGCAACATGTTCAACATACTGCCACTTTGATTTCGAATTTACTCCATTATCTGATTAAAAACAGGCAGTTTACTATATCCGCATCTCATCTGAATGTCTCCTGGGATCAAGCTCGAGATATAGGGGGTTTTCCAGCATCTCATTTGGGAATGTTTATGTAACCCTTACAATAATTTGGGCTGTTTGTTTCGAGTCCAGCCGGTGGTAATGAAGCCAGTTGAACTTAACTGCAAAGAAACCGTTTGAAAGCTCTGTTTGTTTTCACTCAGTCTTATCGAAAGATTTGAGAGCAATTACACTTTGATATAATTACTATTAGATTTAAACTGACTGCAGTCTTCAGAAAACAAGGCAGGAGCTTTAATGGAGTTTTGGGATCGTGGGTGGCATTGCATAGTCTTAAAAGTCTTTAAGTATCCAGAATTATTTGATGCTATTTGATTTAAAAAGTTTTTGGTGTGTGTGTGTGTGTGTTCTGGTTTATCTCATTTGTTTAAATTTAGGTTATAGGTCTTGCTCTGTGAAGTCACAAAAATGAGTCTGCCAAAAATAGGACCAAAAATGTATTATTTTCCTTTTACTTTAAAATATTTTAACGAGTAATTAATAAAAATTAAGGCATTGTAAATGCAGAATAAAATACTGAAATGGGGCATTTCACGAGCACTTCACACCATGAAAATAACAATTAATAATTATCTATGCAGATCTGCAATGATTCTGTTCTTTTGGTATGTTTTGAATCGGAGTGAATGGTTGGCTCACTCTGTTTTAGCCTAATATTTCCACACATTTAATGCATCCCAGCAATAAACCATCCAGGGTAATGAACTTGAATAATGTTTCAGTGAGAAACATGTTTGCATGTTATAGCCTATATGCATTACTGGAATGCAGTTAACTAAAAATAGGGCCTATATAAATATATTTTAACACTACAAACGTTTTGATTAAGAGAGATGGTGTTTTTTTTTAAAGAGATAAATTAATCAACAAAACAAATTGATTAAATGAAAGTTCTCTCCCAAGTAAAATGTTTCATTACACTTCAAGTTTATGTTGTAGGCCTAAGTGTGTGTGTGGTTGGAATCAGGTCAGAACAGAGCAATCGTAAAAAAAGAGAGAAAATGTTTCTTAATTTT